CAGCAGCAGCCGCTGGAGACTCCCTGTGCCCCGGCTCAGGTGAGCGAGGTGCAGCTGGAAGGGGGAGAGCAGGCACGCATGTAGGCAGGTAGCGGGTATAGGCATGCGTGCATAAGTGCGGGGGGGGACAAGACACATCCCTGTGGAGCTCCGCAGTGATCGTTCCCAAGGCAGGGGCCAGGGGGGTTATATGGAGGCTGCCTTGGCGGATGGGGGGTTGTGCTTGAGAACACTTGCCACGCTGTCCTGGTTGCTTCTGGAGCTGGCAGAGGGGCTGGAGGAGAAGGGAGTTTGTTGGGAGAAAGAAAGGCACAAAGGGGTGGCCTGTGTGTTTGTGCCCATCACCTGCCATGCCCCGAAAGCAACTGCTTTTTGCCCGCTGCTGCCCCATGACTTCTGTTTTTTTCCCCTAGCACCTTGCAGAAATGCCCTAGCTGGCAGCTGGTTTGTTTGCTGGCAGAATCGGCCCCTTCTAGCCTGACAGGTAGCATTGCCAGTGGATGGAAAAGCCTTGAGACAGCGGTTCACAGCAGCTCTCCCGCTCCTTGTTGGTATCAAAACACTTGTTTTTTTAGATAATCCCACTACTTAAAATAAAAAAAGCCTCCACCCACACTAAGTTGTCATAGATAACCTCTGGCATGTACGCATAGTCAAAGGTCAGGTCCTTGTGCAAAGGGCAACTTCAAATAGTTTTTGGAGTGATCTTAAAGATATATTTGTACACATTAAGCACCTCCATGTAGCCTGACTTTCCTAACATTTTTTCCCACATAATTTTGGTTTTGCTAAGTGGGGTTGGCTTGCTTTCCTGGTTTGTATTTTAAAAAAAGAGGTCCTTTGGATTGATCACAATTATGTTACAGTAGCTTTATAGGTACTAAAATGGACTGAAAATAAAAGTGAAGCTGTATAGTCACGTGGCAATATAGGAGCAGGGAATTAAATACCTTGTATAGAGAAAAGCAGACTATAAACATAGAATTAAAAATCTTATCTGACATAAGTATACATGTATAGAGGTGTGTATTTCTGTGTGTATGTTATAATTAATAGACACTAAGGAGTCTGGTGTGTTCCAAAACATCCAATTTGGTAGCAGTGTCCGTCAATAGTACTTTTTGTCCCCTTGTTAAAGACTCGATTGTGTTGAGCATAACGGTGAAGTTTAGCTATACCTCATGGTGAATTATTCTTTAAGCAAAGGTTTTTTTCATCCTGGGTAGCCAGTTGAAAGCACATGATCTGTAAATGCCCAAAGTGGCCATAGTTCTGTAAGTTGAATATGACCCACCAGGTCATGTCGACTTCTCAACAAGATATTATTGTTTGCTTTTCACAGCTGGCTTGAAATGGAGGTAGAGTTTTTTTCTGGGTTGTTTGCTTAACTGTAAGATGCCTCAGATGAATTCCACCCATTCCAGACAAAAATGGGAGCAGGAGGGAAGGGGGCAGAAAGGCGCAGTAGAAATGCACTGGGCCCAAACTGTCTGGTACTTGCAAAAATAGGACTTGACAAGCAGAATAATCACAGCTGACACATGATTTATTGACTTCATCCCATCACATGGTGGGTCCTCAATAAGCAGAAAATAGGCTGGAACTGAATTCTTACATTGGTTTTGGAGAGTCACTAGAAGTCAGTTAACTCGCTGTTGGCTCTAATGTATTTATTTTATAGGAAATAAAACTTACTAGTTTATTGTCATTAAAATCACCCTGATAATTGAAAGATATTAAGTGATTTAATTTTAATGATTTGTGTAGTAGATTTTCTGAATTTATATGATGTTAAAGTCCAAAGTTGTTCAGAATCTAAAGACTGCTGGAGTCTGAGCAGTCTTTAATAAATTATTCCAGATTGCTTATCTTTTTTAAAATCCAATATTAAGCTTTGAAGCCAACTGATACTTTAAGAAAATAAAAGGGACATGGTTGGGATATCTGTGGATTTTATATGTTGGTTTTGTGGTGGGACCTGTGCCAAGTGGTGAGTGACTGAATCCCCATGTGACTTAAGCAGCAAGTCGATGCCACCTGTATGTAAAACAACTTCTTTCTCCCTGCAGGGGGTCAAATTGAAGGTGGGGAGAAATGGTACCCTTCCAGTTTGCACTTGCATGAGACACTGGAGTCATGTTGTCCGTCATATATCTTGCAGACAATCAACATATGGTTGTGTATGCCAGAAATGGTCAACCTGCAGCATGTGTGCCACAAGTGGCACAAGCAGCCTCTGTGTGGGGCATGTGGCAGATTGTGGAAGGGGCAGGGAACAAAAAGAAGAGCAGCAGGTCAGGCAGGAGAGGGGGATTGGAGTGGCACTCAGGGAAGGCATGGGCTTAATTTGGGGCATCCTGCCAAAGAAGTTGGCCCTTACCAGCATATACTGACTGTTTGGCTTCCACTGTAGTCAGACAATCTGACTGTTGTGGCTTGTGAGCTGGGCTCCTCTTTTATTGTGGTGGGAATGAGGAGAGACTTGCAAATGCTACCCACTGGCAAATCAGCATGAGATGCCATGCATCCTAAATTGTGTGGATCTGCACTGTTCCCTTGCATCTTTTGTAAGGTATGAAATATAGTTAAATACCCAAATTTGAATGGTTGCCACTGGCTGATTGACTGGCAGGGAGAGGAATAAGAAAACCCACACCTTTCAGAGCTAGTATTCCAGGCTGTCTGTAGACTCAGTCCACTTCAGAGTGTGTGTGCGTGTGTGTGTGTGTGTATTTCTGAGCTTTCCCATCACAGCCATTCAAGCTAGCAATTTAAACTGGGAAGGAGGATCACTAGGATTCTGGAGACAGAGTAAATTTCTTTCTCCAGTCCAGTTACACCATTAGAAATGACCTGTGCCCAGTTGAGGAAGGATTTCCTGGCACAGGAACTGCAGAGGACAACCAAAAGGCTGCCTTCCCCTCAGAAGGCAGAAGCCTTAGCAGAGGAGGCAAAGCAGAAGATGGGAAGGACCTCCAGGCCTATCTATGTGATGCCAAAGGCCTCCCCAGTTGGGCAAAGCAAAGCATGAAGGAGAGGATGTAAGAGTGACTTGTAACTGTCATAGGCTTTGCCCCCCTACCTAGCATTTTCAGAGCTGGCAGCATGTTGTTTGGAGGTGTAACATTTTGGGGTTCTGCTGAAGGGTCCTCCACGGTTGTTGAATGAGTCACTTTTTGCTGCCCCCTCTGGGAGAAGCACCTGCCAATGTAGTATCTCACTGATCTGTAAAACAGAGTACTGTTTGGACCCTGGCTCTCTTAGGAGAAATAAAACTGGCCAGTCTAGGCAGATTTGATATAAGTCGCTTCTGTGGGATTTTTAGTTCAGTCTGGACAAGTCTCAAGTTTTACTTTCAGCTGGGGGGTTTTCTGCCTCCTGCTCCCCCCCAAACCGGTGTGTGTTGTTTCTTGGTCTTACCTGAAGCTGCATATTTAAGGAATAATGTTCAATTCTGGGTGATGTAATTTCACCTCTCGTAGTTTTGCAGGACATGAGGCTCCTTCATCCTTAGAGAAGAAAGGCAATTCTTAATATAAACTTCACCCTAAAAATTCTGTGTAAAGGACAGAGAAGACTCAGACATAGTGAGTAGGGTTCTAGGTTTTTGATTCTGAGCAGCTCTCTGACCAATAATACCAGAAGCTGTTCTGCCCATGGAGTTTCATTCCCCAGGTGACTGGGAAGAATCCCTGTGCCCAGATCTGCTCATCCATTTAGTCCCGTAGAAGGATGGATGAAGCTGCACAAGCATGCAGCAGATCTAGAGTCCAGGGAAATGTGCACCAAATATTTTAATATGAGGGGTTGTTTCTCAATCCTTGTTATTATCCATGCTGCTCAGTTTGGATGTTATCCTGGTACTCCAGCCATTTAGCACACTTTCAGCCTGCACCTTCACTTTATTCCCAGGCTGCCTCTGGAATTGCTGCATCAGCTAATAGGAACAAGTGCTCTAGGCACTATTTTCTTGATACAGATGCCACTGCAGATGGAGTGCAGGTGAATTATACCAACTGTGCCATGCTTAACCTTTCCCTTAATATTCCCATTTATTGTCAGAAACCAAAAAGGGCTGGACTCTGGCTTCTTATAACCTCCAGCGTCTGTTCTTGTCCTGCTGCTTTCTCTGCCTTTGTTATATTTTCCGTTTGTCTTTTGGCTATTAAGACTGTATCATATTAAATTAGTTATGAGTCAGAAAAAGACAGGTTGGATCATTCAGTCTGACAGCTTCTTCATTTCCACTAACGTTTTATCTAACATGCAGTGGAATCCCAGCCTGTGGGGTCCCTTGGGTACTTTTTCCCTTGAGAGTCCATTCTGCTGACCAGTCCTATCTGCCCTACTACATAGTATCCCAAATGGCTGTTAATATTTCTTGTAGTGAAATCTGATTTTGCTGTACTAGGAGAAAAGTTGTTTTAAAACTCACAGCCAGGCTGATAGGCGTGAAGGCATTGACAACTTGTCGGAACATGTCAGGAAGAACTGTCTTTTTATTAAAAAATAAATAAATAAATTTCAGCCTGATCTTCCAACCTGATTTTTTTTTGTGCTAATATTAACTGTAGGACTGACAGCTCTGGAGAGTGAAGTTCTCTGTTTGCAGACCAGGTAGAGAGCACAGCCAGTGGAAATGCAAGCTCTTCCAGCACTGTCCTGCTATCCTGTTTCTGCTGTGACTTAGAGCAGTGGTTTTCAAACCTCCTAAGTTGTGGGAGCCTTTCATATCACTTCTTCTGTCGTGGCACCCTGACCCCTATCTTGTGAGCTGAGTGGGAGCCAGGCAATCCAACCTGACAGTGATGGTGTACCTCCTCTTGGCTAGCTCTGCCATTATCCTCAATCTCTCTGCAGGTCCCATGACGACTTATGGTAGAATGAAGTTTGAAAATCACTTACAGGATTGCTTTTAGGTGAGATTATCAGTTGTGAATTACTTTAATGCTTTAATCCTTGTTTTTTCTGTTGTTCTTGCCAAGAATGCTAGTCAGTCAGTTAGGGTGGAGTGTTTGGTAATATGGGTGCCTTTACTG